TGCATACATTTATCTTTGTTGCAATAGAATAAAGTACATATATTGATAAAAAAAGGCGGAGAAAATATCAAAGAAAATAGAAGATGAAAGAGATGAGGCAGTGCGACTTGTTAGTGACGAGCAGCTTCTCGAGAAAAAAAGAGAAGAAGATAAAGATGAAAACAGAGAAGCCGTCATTAGCAACATATTCTCTCTTTTAGTACAATTTTTGACGTCGAGTGACTTATAGCGAATTCTAAGCATGTCTCATTAGTATGCAAGATGTCATCAATGTGACGAACAACCGAAAAAAAGAAAATAAAAGGAAATCACTTCCAAGAAAATTTTTCAAGCAAAGAGACTCAATGTATCTCATTCCTTTTTAAATGTGCTTACCTAATGGTATTTTTGATTTATTATCACAGGATAGTGCTAATATTTCGTCGCTATATAAACTAGATAATTCTTCCACGTAATTCACCATCGCACATGTAAAATGAAAATCATTATGTTCTTTTATTGACTGGGAATTACGTTTTTGTGGAATTTTTGCTAATATACGACTTTTGTAATATTTACTACTTTGAATATTATTTTTTGGTGGTAAAAAATAACGACGAACAGTAGAATTTGATATTTTATTGATTATTGAGTACTTTTTCATTAATCGTTTTTTAATATGTTTATTACAATCAACTATCGATAAGCCATTGAAACGTATTGCATCGTCACGACGTCTATCTTGTGCAGAACCACTGTGTGTATTTAATAAATTTTTTAATTCAGTTATTATTTCTGGACATAATTGATGATAAGATTTTCTTCCAACTTTTTTACGTTGAAAATTTGTTAATAATATTTGTCTCATTCTTTCTTGAGACTTTTCTTTCGTTTCGAACATTAACCATCTGTAGCTTGGCATAATAAAAAATTTTTAAAAGTACTTGAGAACTTGATGGAATGTTTTATAAATAAATTAAGCTTATAGGGAAAAGTTTGAGTAAAATTGAATATGTAGTTTAACAATACTTTATGAGAAATAATGAAAAAAAATAGCATCCATTCTTGTACAACAAGTATGACTAATTATGCTCTTTAACAGAACACATAAACTCAGTCAATTATGATACATATATATATACAAGTTAAGCCAATTAATGTAAAAAAATGTAACAAGAAATATATACAGACATGTGTTGTTAATTATTTCTCATTACATGAGAATAGTATATGATCGTCTAAACAACGAAACAAATAAGCTTATCTATGTTTGAAGAAGAAACTATTTTTAGAAGGAGAAAAAATAGTTATTATAAATTTTCATTTCACAAAAATCACACATAAGTTTTGTAGTTGTAGTAATTCATTTAACTTTAATAATGTCTAAATCTAAAAAGGTACGCGAAGCCTCTCCAGAAATTGTTGAAGACAACGATGATTCTGAGTTTGAAGAAGAAAATAATAATAAAAGAACAACATTATCAATTATAAATGAAAAAATGGATTTATTATTAACGAAATTTGATAAAATGGAAACTTCAATTAATATTCTTAAGAAAACTGTTGATGTATTAGTAAATAAACAAACAACAATCGATATAACAGTATGTGAATTACAGAAGGACAATGTTGATAAATCAGCCAGTATTATTAACACAGAAAAGTGCTGTACAAAAATTTTGGAGTTAATTGAAGAAAGAGCTTTATCATTTGAAAGTGCCATTCAACATGCATCGGACCAAATCAAAGAACAAGTTGTAAGTAAACAGAAACTTTTTAAATTAGAGAAAATGAAATATTAAGGTAATATTTCAAAATATATCCTAGTAGATCGATCTGTATTCCTCTATTCCACGAGTATTACTCTCCGATTTCTCTATTATACAAGATTTCTTTGTATAATATAGTTTATATATCTATCAGCCTTCATGTTATTTTCTAATTGATTTGATTACTTCTTCAAAGACAACCAACCTCTATGTCTCAATAATATGAAATTTCTTCTTTTGTCACCTTTTAGACTTCTGTATCTATCTATATATCCTTGCAGAAGAAAAAAACATAAAAAAAAAAGAAAAAGCAGCAGACTTTGAAATTCAAAAGTGCGACCTAAAGAGTACGATCTATAATCTTGGATACCCTGAAAGCCTAAGCGATGCTTCTCGACCGAAAAATCTCTTGAATCTCGACAAGATATTTAAATCGTAAAACGAAGTCGAACACGCTGATTTCGAATAAATAGGTTTCCAAAATTCGTTTGTCTGGGAAAAAGTCATTGAATTCTGTTATTCTGTCTTTGTTAATGAGTCTTTTAATTTTTGTCATATAACTTCGTTTTAGGTTGGTTCAGTTTCTTTTGGTATGGATACAACACACAGCACAATTATAGATAAATCTACATTAATGTTATTAAAGCAACCGGAGAGTACAGCGGCACCGGTATCAACACCACCAACACCAACTGAAGTCATATCATCTGAAAATGAATTATTGTACTCACATTATGATTTTGAATCGTCTCCAAGTTGTACTTCGAAACGGCCATATGATTTGAATGTAGATAGTGATGAATCATTTTTATCAACTCCAATTAGAGTGGTATGTTACATGTGTTCCTTTTTCAAGTACCTATAGTGCAGGAAATTCTTATATCTTTTAGAACCGTTTATTGAAAAGACAAAAGGCTGATAGTCAAATTTCAACTAGTATGTGTACGAATTTATCTCCATTGGTTAAAGTCTCAAATGTAAGTCTAGACTATACAGAGCTATTTATCAGTGTTTTGTATGTTTTATATGAAACGTTATTTTTTTAGGAAGTCCAAGTAGTTCTCACTGATCCTAATACACAAACAACATTTCACCTTATGAAAGATAAACATGATAGACAACAAGTGGCAACCAACCAAGAGTTATTAAACAAAGAAACTGGATTCCGTCATCTTTTGGCCTATCTTTATTCAACATTATTTACAGAAGAAGAATTAAAAGGTTCATCCGTTGACGGCTGTGTTCGTGGTACAAAAGCATTTGATCCAATAAGAGTAGCTGCCATTGATAAACATTTGTTTGACTTATATGGTGCAAGATATGCAAAATTTCGTACAAGTAATCAATATAAAGAAATAATGAATAAGAAATGTGGTCGAATAAGAACAAAATTTAATAAAAGTATTAATAATAATTAGATTTGTTGTAATAAATAATTTATGTACATATAAATACAAATTAAATAACATTATTTTATTTCATAATTATGGATTTATCTGCAAATATAGAATAATTTTGAAAAAAATTCATTGTTTTCGGAGTAAATAAATAGTGTGGAGTCAAAGA